TTTTCTAGCTTAGCTGTCAAATAGCTCAGGTTTTTGTTAGCTTGAAAAGCTAGCTGCCAACTATGCGCGTCAAGGGCTCTCCCCTTCATTAATCAATAACAAGATCTATCTCGTGATACTAAGTCTGAAAGCTACAAGCAGTATAATAGATGTAATACTAAGAGCAATACGCCGGCGAGTTTTTTCCAAACCGTAATTTACCACCGAAAACTTTCTTTCGGGACAGCAGCAATTTCAACGACGCAACCTCTTGACCACCTTAGAGCGTAGTCACGAGTTATTGATGTTAGGATAGTTTTAGAATTGCTTAAATAACAGCTACTATCTTAGTTACGCAACCTTCTCAGACGTTGAACTTATATTGATAAAAGCATTCGAACAGATTTTTATCAGCGACGTGGTGGCGTCTTATCATTAATTAAAAAACTATGTCCGCTTTAGTACGTCTGAAAAATCTGAAGATGGTGATTCTAATTTGAACGATCGATGGTGTGCGCTCACTGCGGACATTTATGCGGATCAGTCGGTGGGAGATATCAACAATGACATTGGTGTAACTCCTTCCAGATTGCTGAGATGTATTCTCTACCCTAGCCGTTTGGATATATCGTAACTAACATTATTTTCTGAGCAGATCACAGACCAGCACTCAACGCTCAATGCTTCATGCTTCTCATATCGGCGGTCATTATATTCGTTGTTGTGGCCTTCGGACTAAATCCATTTAACGAAAAAGAAGATTTAACATATTCTAGCCACCCGCGTCGAGTGTGAGCTATTTGTTCTTGAATATTGTGGAGGCGATTCTGTCATATACGCCACATTGGAACTTGAAGATTGACCGTCCGAGCACGTCTATGACTCCACAGCTATCTTGATAAATGCCTTTGCTGAGAATCGGGAAGTATGTTGCAATGTTGAATCTTTAAGTACTGATGTTATGTTGTTCTCTTGTAATCCATTTCTCTCGTATATTCGTATCCAGCAATTAGTAAGAACTCGACGAACACATCTCTATTCTTATCATTGCGGACGACAAGCGAGTTGTAGTAGCGCTTCTGTGCTATTTTGATACGTTCCTTACTGGTTTGGTATTGCACAATAGAATACGCCATGTTACTAGATCATGAGCTATTATTTATCACAACCGATCACCTCCCTGTTTCTCTTTGTGCCCTTTAAGAATTGCTGAAGGTTATCGCTGAGCTTCAGAAACATACACCAGCAAACTGCTATACTTCAGCAACAAAAGTCAGATCGTACATTTGTTATCGCTGGGCTTGATTAGGTGTCTGGTCGCTCGCTGCCTTGATAAAATCGTCAAGCGTAGATTTGCAAAGTATCAACAATGATTGAATGGCAAATTATGCAATAAAAGCACCAGCCAAGTGACACATGAAACGCGAAACATCAGCTATTAACCATGCTTTTTCGTCGATGCTAAGTGCTGCGCTTCAGCAGCAAAGTCAGGTCAGTCATTTCTAAAATGGCTTGATAAGGTGTCTGGCCGCTCGCTGCATCGATGATTCCGTCAAGCGTAGTTTTGCAAAGATTCAAAAATATTTAAAGAGCTGATAACGCCATAAAGACACCAGCAAAGTAACACACGAAACGTAGAATATCAGCTGCTAGACATCCTTTTTCGTTGGTTGGATTCTGCCCGTAGGACACAACAATGATGGAAGTGATAATCGAAATAAAAATTGAGATAAATTGTGCATGTACGATCCAGCGTCTGTATCCTGCTCTGCACAAAATTTTTAGCAACAACATATTCAAACAGCTAGGGTTTGCTTTTGGGGTGAAAATCTTCAAGCAGCTGGCTAATTGCCGGTTGAGCTGTGTGTAGACAATCGACTTGTATATAGTCCACATACTTATGGACCTGCAGTTGCGAATCAACCGTATTTTCATGCAGAAGACTTTCCACACAATATGCCTTGCGTCTGGGATTTTCACTTTGGATATTTAAAAAGAGAAGCTAGGGTGATTGGCGAATGGGGTGGTCGTTTTGATAATCGAATAGACTGGAGCTGGCAAAAGCGGTTTGCTGAGTATGTTCAACATGATGGTATTGATGGAGTATGGCGGTGACACAGACGGTTTACTGTGCGCTGATTGGCGCACACCGAATGATAAAGCGTTTCAGGCTTTACGTGGGATGCACGTCATCATTATGTCATCAATATATTTTGCATTTCTGACGATTCAAATTAATGGATCAAATTATCTTATATTTCATTTGAGCACAAAAAACGCAACAGCTTAGATCTAGAATGGAAAATTTACGATAACAATTAGTACACGATGTCGTAACCACCTGTAATTGTACAAGCTGAAAAAGCGATTAGGCATGTTATACAGCATCCATCTTCTAGATTATAACGTGGTTAGAACCCTAAATCTTGTGTGAAACGACTTCAATGGACGGTCGTACTTTAATACTGGACTCAATTAGGTAGTACCTTAATCGAAACCTTCTGTTTCCCCTACATCTCTAAATAAATACTACAATCTATATGCCAGTGCATTTCAACGTACTTTAACTATTTCTACTTGATCAACAGCTCGAATTTTGGCTGCACAAGTTGCACAACCAGCTCTTTGATGGACGAGGGTGAGGCGTCTCTAACTTATATAAACAGGGTCGACAATTTAGTCGAGACAGATTAGTCGACACCTTAAACTGCACTGTTCGAGATCTCGTTGATAAAATGCTCCAGAAAAAACAAGTCTTCTTCAAACAAGTCCACAGGCTTGTCAGATGGCTCCATGTCAAAAACAGGTGCGTCTACCATCATGTAATCCACAGCTGCATCCATTCCGATGCCAATGTCTAGTTCAGCATCCATCCACGAGAACATAGCGGTATCATTGACGACAGCACATCTGTTGCTCATGCAATCAATGCCGCGTGGGCTTCCAGAGTCAGGAATATCCACAACCTTAGGATGACTAATTGACGTTGGGATAGATGCAGACTGCTCGATTTTGACGACCACTTCACGTTGAACATTGGCCACAACCTTATGCATGCGACGCAAGTTATTGCTGCACTTTACACGTGGGGAGGCCGAGCGACCTTGTTTGCGACGTTGCTCCATGCGACGTTGATTTGTATTTGCTTTTTGACGGTGATATTCACAGAATTTGTGAAGCTCACCATTGCGTTTCTCCACGCGCCAACTCCAGCACTTCTTGCTTGGGTAGCCACACAACAGCGGTGAGCGCTTTTGATGTGTCGATGTCATCATAGAAGCAGACGACGGCATACTCAAATGAGCTACATGTGCCTGCATCATGCCACCGACCGGAACAATCGAGTGCTTAGAGAACGAAGCCAAGAGCTCGCTGCTTGAGAACGATGTCGAGATGACCATTGGGAATGGAGATATTTTTAGATAGACGCAGATTTAGAAATGGCTCCGTTCTGTCCGGCACTGCAGCACCAGTGGCTTGGACATGATCAGTACGTGGCGATTTTTTAAGCGCAGGTGCGTCGGGGACCTGTTGCGCCTTCCAGCAACATTACCGTGCTCCCGAGCAGCTTGAAGCACCGCCTCGTCTGCAAAATTCGAATGTGCGCTAACCCTGGGTTCAAGAACGCCGGTGCAGAAAACTGGCGTGTCGCAAAAAGAAGGGAATCTATTCCCGCAAAGTATTTAAGGGAGTGATAATGAGCTTAAATTCGTCAAGGCTCCTGTTGGATGGTCTGACTCGGCGCTTCGAAAACAATAGCCAGGTCACATCCCCATCACAGTAAAACAGAGACCTTGAATGATAATTCGCCCATGCTTTCTTTTGGATGAAATGGTAGAGTCTCACAATGTACAGTGAGACCTGCCACATTCATTTAGCCTGGTTTTGCTATGGCAGCACTATTTTCATGTTTCTAGTGATATTAATTGCATTTTCTGCAATCAAAACGATGTTATTTATGTGCTAAGCCGTATACATCGAAAAAGGAATATTTTGCAACGCTTCGGGCTGAGCTAACACTCTATTAAGGACAGTTATCACGACTAAAAGATCCATGATGTTTTTATTTTTCTCAAGAATATTAAATAGGGCTGCCCGCAGACAAGTCTTTCCAATAACCGCCCACAACTTACAACTTCGGAAAACCCAAGAGTCTCGAGTAGAAGTATCAATTGTATGTAGCATTGCAGGATGAAAGAGTTGTCGCCCACACTGCCAACCACTCCACGTGTCGATTTCTCTCTGTTCTCGAACAGCTGGTCCACAATTTTAAGCGGGGCGCGTTCGGTGGAGACAGGCATAAGCAGCACATTCTGGCGGAGCTGACGTCGCATCAGTATGCATGTCACGAAGTGCTTCTTTACTAAAAAGGCTACACAAATCCAAAGCTCTTCTTGTTTCCACGTTCTAGTCTACTTTGATGATGTTGCAACGAAACCAGATGGGTAATATGATGACAGCAACTTTCAGCTGCATTTAAGCCTACTTTCGGAATATCGCGTACAGTACTATACGCCTGTCTAGAAGAATTGCCGCTTTTTGTTAGGGCACAATCTCGGCCTATAGCGAATTATCTGTTGAAGTTTCGGCAAGGCCATCCAGGCAAGGCCATCTAGGCGGCCATGCATGACACTTCATCTAATAGTGTATATCTTGCACGCTTTACTAAGCAGTGACCACCATTAAATCAAACTTTAAATGCCCTTTACCAAGTATTCTTCCATGATGACATTTCAAAGTTTGTCGAAAAATTGCTCTACAATGATCTGTACATTGACAGGCTGTTTGGCAGATGAGTCACACGGATTAGTTGCGCTTGATTGCACGGCCTTCGGCTCCGACAGCAAGCGTCCAGCCTTTGCTGCGTCGACTGCTTTTCGCTGCAAATATTCATGGCCTCTATGCGGCTGCGATCCTTCTACCTCAGGGGCTAAAGCCGGGCTTCGGGTCGGGATCAGATGAAGTTTGCAGCGGGCAATTACAATTCGCCAGTGCAGCCGACTATCTAATCAACTTACGTTGTACGACATGAATCAAGCTAATCTTAAGCTGAGTGCAGGAGCATTGTAAATTGTGCAATTTTTAATTGCCGCTTATCAATAATTTGGCAGCCGACGCGCGCGTGTCATTGTGACAAGTCATAGTTTGAAAAACGGCCTGGATACCCAGCTGCACCCTCGCGAAGTGTCTATGATGCGCAAAGCTTCAATAAATTACGAACAGATACCTCATAGTTACACGAACATGCTTTACATGCGTAAAGCGGCAAAATTGCGGTTTGCATTGACGTGGGTTTGATACTCGACCACCGAAGGGTCTTACGACAAAAACTAAGGACCAAGCTTTTCATTTGATAAATACTTACATCTCAGGAGCTGGAACGATTTGGCGTTCTCTCTCCTTCTGAAATACGAGCTGATCATTCGAGCTTTATCGTACTGAGCAATCAATGACCAGCCTTCCATAGGCCTCTGGAATGCTGATTAGTTGGCGCAATAAATTCCTTACAACTTGAGCCAACAAGCTACCATCCCGAAAGTGTTAAGAGCAATTATTGTAACGTGTAATGAGTAAATATATTTACCGCTTTAGTGATAAAAAGCATGTAACTTTCGCTAGCTATCTGTAACCTAAAAGTACTCACCTATGATGGGTTCAAGAGCAAAGAACTGGGGACACATATCCAACACGGAAGAATAAGTTGCTTGAGTGTCGATAGCACGTGTAGAGATGCTTGGCCAACATTTTCTGGCGGTTCGATATCCTATCTCCAGCTCTGGTACCAACATTTGCATCTCACGCTCGTTGTCCTCACACAATTCGACACTTTCCACTTTAGTCCGAGATTTGAAATCAACATTTCGATGACTTGGCTTGCGACGATGATATGGTTGTTGACGCACATTGTGCTTCTGTGTCCTTTTAGATTGCGACATCGGAGGACGTGGCAACATCGGAGGAAGCAGCGGTGCTGATACAGCTGGAGGTGGCGGTGGGAGTAATGGAAGTAGCGATAATTGCGGAGGTCCACGAGTCATGGGTGGGCCAACGAAGAGATAAAGGTCGTTGAAGTCCATTGTCAAGTTTGGAGTAAAAGTTTGAATGAAGCCAGAGTTCCACAGTATTGAACTGATTCTCATTGGATCTAGTCACCACCATATATGACCATTTAGCACTGCTCGCAATACTTTTCACTCGGCGATTTGCTCAGCAATCTAGGTCATGAACAAAGATGCTTTTTCAGATGTTGTTGAGGAAAGTGTTGGAGGTTTTAAAGTCTTACAATGATCAAACACATTTATAAAAAGTATCTATTACCCGCACAAAAGCTAAATCTATTTCTATTTCTAGCACTATTTTTGTAAATCGTGGGTATGAATGCCTTAAAATTTCTTGAAAACAGATGCTTTTTGCTAATTGTTGAACTGATAAATAAATCTTCGAAAACTTCACTCTTCCCATCACGACTCGTTGTCGAGACTTCATTGTTAAGGATGCTTCCTTCAGCTAAATCAGCTGTTAGCGCAGATACACCGTCAGTAGTCGCCTCGATCGAATAAGCAACTCGAGTCGCTGTCCATCTCGGCGAATATTTTTCTAAATTTGTACACGAGTCTTTCAAATTTGTGATTTACCTAGTAGCGTGCATTTTGTCCTGTGTACGACTAGTACTCTTACACTTCTGATTAAATTTGCTAGTTAAATGTCGTTTATGTATCATATCATCGTTGTATCTGACTCAGATCAAGTTTAACATATGATGTTAGTAACAGGGTACGTACTATAAGTGCATGAACATATTCCACTTCTTTCACTTTTGATGGGACTCCGTAGAGGAGAGGTATGTGGGACACGTGGACTACTAGCATTACAAAGCATATGTATTGGATATAGATAACACGTATACCTTTAGTATTACGCTTTACCAGCATTAGAATAAAAGGACAAACAAATATCAAGGGCTCTGCGACAGTGTTGCCTTGCATAGAAGAAGCTGAAACTTCTGCTCAAAATTCAGAGGATACAACGCTTCAACTCGCACACTATCAAAAGAGTCCAAAAAATAACCAAATACTTACTTTGCAGCAATTTTGAAAAATGACGATAAATTTGTGAGCACATTTACTGCTTCCAGATCCAAAATAATCTGCACCGTTATGCCTTACCCCAAAGTTTGTTGCACCACAACACCAAAACTTAGCGTTAAAAGTTGCCTCATAAGTACAGAATACTGTACGAGGCACATGATACACCTTTGAGTGGCCACCTTGGAAGAGAAAAACATAGCTATGAATTAGTGGCTAGCATTGCGTAACGTGAGGCTAACAGCACATGTGTGCCAATGACTACTCCTTTACGAAGTTCTACACACCGATGCTTTGGTGCCTCTACGATATTGCGTTTTGCACAAACGAACGAAAATGTAAGGAGCATGTATGCAATACTACAATAAACAGAACATTTAGTACGTCTACTATACATATACAGTTGTGCGAAGTACAATATGGTTAGAACGTACAAGCTTCACATTACACGCTTGTGTAATATTGAATGGATAAAGATGTCACAGTATGAGGCACCCACGAAGGTGATAGGACTCTGTAAAGAAATGGCCTGTGGTTCACGTGGGCTCTTAGCCTCACGTCAAACAATACAAATATTTATATTATAGGATATAGGAAAACTGATATCACTCATATAGAATTAATCTAAAATATACCTCACTCTTGATCTTTTAAGATTTTAAGGTGGAGCGGTTTAAAACTAACCTCAGCTCTATGAGCCAAAGCTTCTTTTGTGAATAAAAGCACGGCAAATTGCGTTGCATCGGTATCCCTTGTAGTCCATCTCACTACCGAAAATGCCTGTGATAAATTGCTCGATTACCTGAATCCAGGACAGGTAGAAGTTCACAGAAAGCTCGTATAAATGTTGGTCCGAGGGGTTCAGAGAACTGACAGCTCAAGAGCCAAACGCCATATTTACACCTGGAGGCATACACTGGCTGTAAGTCACGCTGGTGAGACGCCTCCCGAGCACCTTAATCGAACGTCGTTGTGAGCACGGTTGGTACCCACTCTAAAGCCGATTGATGTTATTGTCTAGCCCTTCGAAAGAATTGACGAAAATTTTATCGCTCAAAAGAGGGGAGGTAAAGTGGTAGACAATCAAGCCATTCTCCGGAAGGATCGACAGCGCGTCGCAAATGCAGTCTTCAGGCTAGAATGTAGTGCGCTAGAGTGGACTCAATCATGCAGTAGTTCTGCGAGCGAGGGAGAACATCTGGAGCGACACACGTCGTGTGCTCGCACCGCTTAAATAGTATTATCGGGTGAGCTCATATTTCCTTAGCTGTCGAGACGGGTCGACGAAAACTAACTTTGACGAAAAACTATGATATTTATTGCCATAATGGCGTGAGACCCTTTCCAGGGATCTTAATTAGTTGCCATCTTCATATGAGCCCAGGGCACAGTATTCAAATCAATATGAAGAAAGAAACGGACTTACGTGACAATGATAACTATTCTAACCGGTTAATCAAACACGGAAATGAAGCTTGCACGGAAGGGATATGGGATCACATCACAGAAATGAAATCGGAAGCTGCTATGACGTCAATTTAGTGAACAAATAACATAATGGCATCCGCCATTATTGTACAAGAAATTCAGATACAATATCAGTAAGAAATTACTGCTCGTGAAGCATAATAAACTTTGGGGAATATCACAAGCATGCAAGTATTCACAATTGAGTCGCCTTGACGAGACTTTTGCATGACTTCGCAATGGAAGACGAGGCATGCATAACATGTCACCTCGCTAGTCTTAACGATCTAATTTTGCAATGTGGAGGGTGTTGGGAATGGTATGAGCACAGATCGAAAGCTTGATAGTTTATCAAGTATATATGCGATGGCTTTATCTATCATTGAGAATTAAATAAAGATTTCAGTTGATGAGGTATATGAAGATTTTTTAATAACGCGAGAGGGTCAATAGTGCAAAGAAATCGAAAGAAAGCGCTATACAGGCACGATTCCGTTGTCATGGCGGTCGGAAGAGCATACAAGGCGTCTGTAGACGCCAAGATCAGCATATTCGTTAAGAATTGAGACAAGGTGATCGTCGAAGTTATACTGGACGTTGTCATGACAAGATTGGCCAAAAGTAGGCAAACTGTATATCAAGTGCACGCTGTAGTGAGGGAATGTATATGGCAAATATGGATGAAACTTCAGATCGGTTAATTGATAGTCTATACCGTCACTTATGCTCCCTGAGAGAAAGGAATTAAACAGTTACAGAAAATTGAAACATTGAGGTTTCAATCGCTAATGGTGAGCCGCTCCATGCGATAGACATGGGGGATATTTACATGCCACGCCCTCAAGGTCCCGAAGTGAAGATGAAAGACGCTACCCACGTTTTGGATTGGATCGCCACCTACTCTTGCTTGCAAAAATTACCCAGAAATATCTTGCAGAGATCTGGTATGGCAAATTTCTTGAGGAATAATTAACGTCGGTAGCGCAGTGACGGGTGTGGTCGTGGAGCAGGATGCTAATATAAATTATGATGGCTCTTCGAAGGCTAAGACCAAGGCAAAGACCTACTATTGGGAACATTCGACATCGTTGTATTTCGCACGTGCGTAAATCAAGAAACCAAGGAAAGCGAAATCTTAGAAATCGAAAGAGTTTCAGCCGTTGAGGCGAAGCATAAGAAACTGAAAGAGAAAAGGGAAGAAAAGGGAATCTCCATCTATCTGAATTGCGACGCCTGCAAGAATTCGCAGATCAAAAGATCGTTTGGCTGCTCGAATTTCGTTCCCAAGGGCCATCAAATTGCTGAAAGAAACTCAAGTATCGATAAAAAAGATGCTCGACGCTGAGGAGCTGCTGGGAACATTTTTTTGCTCTGACACTTGATTTTTGGACGTCGGTTGCAATTGTACCCTTCGTTGCGATCACGATTCATTTTGTTTCAGTTGATTGGACGTATAACAAC